ATTCTTGAAAAAAGAACTATGTAACATATATAAATATATACATAAACATAAATATATAGTATAAACATTTATAGCATACATATGTAATCTCTCTGCCATTTTGGGCTACCTTACCAAAAAGGCAGAAGCAAACACATAAAAATTAAATAACATATACATACGTAGGGAAAATAAAGAGAGATCAGACTGTTACTATGTCTATGTAGAAAGGGAAGACATAAATTCCATTTTGACGGGTACCTTGAAAAATTGCTTTGCTGAGATGCTGTTAATTTGTAACTTTGCCTCAGCCCCTTTGCCCCAACCTTGTGCTCACAGAAATATGTGTTGTATGGAATCAAGGTTTAAGGGATCTAGGGCTGTGCAGGACGTGCCTTGTTAACAAAATATTTACAGGCAGTATGCTTGGTAATAGTCATCGCCATTCTCTAGTCTCAATAAACCAGGGGCACAACGCACTGTGAAAAGCCGCAGGGACCTCTGCCTTGGAAAGCCGGGTATTGTCCAAGGTTTCTCCCCATGTGATAGTCTGAAATGTGGCCTCATGGGATGAGAAAGACCTGACCGTCCCCCAGCCCAGCACCCGTAAAGGGTCTGTGCTGAGGTGGATTAGTAAAAGAGGAAGGCCTCTTGCAGTTGAGATAAAGAAAGGCCACCATCTCCTGCCTGCTCCTGGGAGCTGACTGTCTCGGTGTAAAACCCAATTGTACATTTTTTTCAAATCTGAGATAGGAGAAAAACTGCCCTATGGCGGGAAGCGAGACGTGTTGGCAGCAATGCTGCTTTGTTATTCTTTACTCCACTGAGATGTTTGGGCAGAGAGAAACAAAAATCTGGCCTACGTGCACATCCAGGCATAGTACCTCCCCTTGAACTTAATTATGACACAGATTCTTTTGCTCACATGTTTTTTTGCTGACCTTCTCCTTATTATCACCCTGCTCTCCGACCCCGTTCCTCTTGGTGAGATAATGAAAATGATAATCAATAAAAACTGAGGGAACTCAGAGACCGGTGCTGGTGCAGGTCCTTGGTGTGCTGAGTGCCGGTCTCCTGGGCCCACTGTTGTTTCTCTATACTGTGTCTCTGTGTCTTATTTCTTTTCTCAGTCTCTCGTCCCACTTGATGAGATATACCCACAGGTGTGGAGGGGCAGGCCACCCCTTCATATATATATATATATATACACACACACACACACATAAATATGCATATTTATAAATTTAGAAATACAGAACATAGGTGACTATCCAAAGAAACATATATATTTATGAGCATATAAATATATAGGTAACATACATAAATATATTTAATATAGAAATTTACACATATATATGTAGCACTCTGCCATTCTGGCATACTTTGCTCACACAGGGTAGAAGCAAGCATATATACTCACATACATGTGTATGCACACACATAGGTATGTTTTTATATATGTACATACAACTACTTATATTAATATATATAGAAACACATAAAAAGAGTAAATATATACATAAGGGTATTATTAAATTGAATTATCTTTGTCCTAAAGCTGCCTCCACACTTATTTTAAGTTTGGCCTAATGAATTCTCTATACATAGCTAGTTGTAACCTAACTTAATGTGTAAAAATAACTATAATTTAACCCAAGACTATAGTCTTATAACATGTAACTATGTCTCAGCCAATGAAAACAGCTGAGCCTTCAGCCAATCAGAGGCTGAAAGCTGCCAAAACATGACTATATAAGGTAAATGCCAACAGCAGCCAATCAGGCTGTTTCTGTGCACTTCTTTTTCTCCAGCTGTAAATATACCCTGCACATATGGTGGCATGGAGCGTTCTGAGCCATTTTTGGTGCAAACTGATGCCTGATTCCGAAATTGTTTCTTTGCTCAAATAAACTCTGCTAAATTTAATGTATGTAAAGTTCTTTTTTTTTTTTTTTTTAAACAGATTAGTGTAGGAAATGCAATCTGAAGTAGAATTTCCATCAAACCCCAGAAGCATGGAGTGCCCAAGCTCAGCGACCCACCAAGCCCATTGTGCACGCAGATCTCTCACAGCAGCAGAGGTCTGGGCAAGTTCTCTCTCAAATTTTGAAGCTCCAAGAATTTGTGTTTTGAGCTATGTATTTGTTTAAGCAAAATTTTTTTTTTTTTTATCCAGACTGGGTTTCGAAATTGATTCTGAAATAATAAATAAAAGCTAAGTGAGATCTTTAAACTAAATTTGTTGTAATTTTGTCTTTTGAGAGTTCTGGCAAGCTGGATGGGATCCACCTCCTAAGACCCCTTGAGGAACGCAGGAAAGACACTACTGGCCCCTTTGCCCTCCTTCCGAGGGTTGTACATTCCTTTTAGGCCAGACTCTATTCTTTTTGCATTGAACCTTGATCCTTTTGGGTTTCGAATCCAGGGTTTTGTGCTGTGAGAGGGCAAATAACCTTGGGGTGGGTGCCAGTGGCCAGTTTGTGCTGTGAGACGACATATGGCCTTTTGAGGTTTGGGTAGCTGATGAGTCATTGGCAAAAAACTGAACTGAGTCCAACGTCAAATTGGATTTGACGGCGAACCGTATTGGATCCAGGTAAGAGGCCACTCAGTCTGATGATCAGATGGAAACTGGACTGGGCTCAGTAGATAGTAAGCTTGGCCTCCCTAAACATAACCTAGAGTTACAGTGGCAACAGTGGGGAAACCCTTACAAAGGTAAGCAGGTGCATGTCTTCCCAGTTACAGCAACTGCAGGGATTGAGAGTACTTGTACTTGTGCATGCAATCTAAAGACCCCTGTGCCCTAAGATGTCAGCCTTTTTTTGCAAATAGCCAGGCCACTGGAAAAAGAATTGTCCACTTTTACAGCAGCCGTCTCATGGGTCATCCCTTTGACCTGGACTGTTTCCCCACTAAGGGAAGCCCCCAGTGGCATCACTCTTGGGACAACTATCAACTCATCTAATTGCCCTCCCTGTTTTTTCTTTCTCTCTCTTTGATCCTGCTTCTCCCATAGGAACCCCTCAGTTGACTGAAACCACTCTTTTCAAACCCTTGCTGCTGCTTCTTTCTTATTGTCATGAACTTTGCTATGTTCCCAAAGTCTTAGTGAAAACAAGGTTTTCTGACTTAATTTCCTTGTTGAGAAGAAAAGGGTGGCCAGTAGCCAGGCTAGTGATAGAATTAATTAAATACGCCACCAAATTGATTACTTCCTACCACGTTAAAAGAGACGTGCTAACAATGCCAGTGACCATGTAACATGGATTTAAGCCACAAGTCATAGAACTGTGATGAGAAGCCTCAGCTCTGTAAAACAGAGGGTGGAGGAAAGCAGTTCCTCTCTCAAATGAGCGTTCCCAGGTATACTTCTTAAAGAATAGGAAGCTGAAGTGTTCAGGACTTTTATATCTATTCTACTTTGGCTTAGTTTAAATGATTGTTCGTTTATTAGCCTAGAAATGGCCAAGAAAACTTAAGGCTCAATAATTAGTTATAAATATGAAATATCCCCAATTTTTAAGATAAAAACAACTTGTAAATGTATTTGTCTGTAAAAATTGTGTGTATTTTTACAGAACGTTGATTTATTTAACACAAAGGGAGGGGAGTCTCTCATTTACATTAGTTTTTTTCATACCCTTGTGAACTTTGCAATTTCTATGTTTAGGAACTTATTTCTTATAGTTTTTCTGTGCTAAACTTTGTCCTGGTCAGTTCTAGAGTGTATGAAGAACCAAAGATGTAATTGCATGCAACCCGGCTGTAGTAGAACAAATGTGACTCTTAAGTAGGCAAGCTTTAATATTCCTGTCTGGTTTTGGTAAGTATTCGTTAGATGGGTTTTTTCTTTGAAAACCTGGGATTGAGAAGGTGATGAATGAAAATTAATCCTTTCACTTTGTTATATATAGGTTTGCAATAATTAGGTCAGAGTGAAGTTTCAAGGTCATGAGGGGGGCTGGTGACGTACAAATAACGGGCTCTGATTGGGCAACTACTCATCTGAGTTCCTTCCATTTGACCTAATTAAGCTTGTGAAATATATACTAAGCCCATGAGCTCATCTTTAAAAAGCTTTTATTAAAGGATTTTCAGCTGTTCCAAATGGGACTTATTAGTGGAATGTGTTTAAAACGATCATATCAGATGAATAAAAGGTATTTGATCCCTTCTTTCCTTAATAATAAAATGATGGCTTGGAAAAATAGGCTAGAGTCTAACCACAGTGCTATTATTAGGCTTTCTTGTTAAACATAGGTCTAAGCCTAAGTATGTCAATACAACAAATACTGTTTGTTTCTATTAATTTAAAAAAAAAAAGTCTTTCTGGCATAAGGACAGTTTTCATCTGGTTATTTTGAAACATTTTTGTAAGATAAATTTACATCTATAAAGAAAATTTTTATTTGTAAAGAGGGGTATGTCTCTGTGCACTGGAAGAGAGGGAGGACTAAATCACTGGGAAGTCTTACGATAAAGAAGCCGTTGGCTTAAATCAGCAAAGCAAGCCGTCCCTTTGTTTAAGGTGTTTTTCCTGTCCATCCTGTCTTAACCAGAACTTTACCTACACCCTCCTTTTCGGTTTAGGCAAATGATGGTATCTAAACCTGAAGTCTCAGCTCTGTGCCTTTGAGATATAAATGTTCTACCACGTCTTCTCTAGAACCTGATAACTATCTCTTTAAAATGCAAGTCTAGGGAGATGACTCATCAGAAAAAAAGAAGAAGAAAGAGGTATTTGGAAATTGTGCAAATTAAAGCAGCCCCTGATGCCAAAGTCTACACATTCCTGAGTGAGTCAGTTCTGGCAGCTCGAGCTGGATCAAGACAGCCCTGCTGGGCAGGCCTGAAGAGCACCTGGATGCAGACACCTGAGGAGACAGGTGCCTGAAGCTTCCTCCACCTGCTCGAGGAATGCTGGCAGGACAGCCCCTTCTGGCTGCCTAAGAAGTGGCAGAGGATGGAAGCAAGGTCAGAGACAGAGTGTTGAACCCTGCCTCCCAGGTGGGTAGAAGATGCCTGTCACCAAACTAAGGCCCAGTTTGCCAGGTGAGGTGGGTGAACTGGTGATCCACCGAGAGAGTGAATGTCAGAACTACACGGTCCCGGACTTCACCTCGGCCAGTGAAGGAGAGAGAGGGTTAACGTTAACTGCACGAGGCCCACTCTAGCCTTAAACTCTGCAATGCAAACCCTTCCCTTGGAGGCAAAACAAACATGACAAGGAATTCTGAGGTCAGAGGACAAGAACCACAAGTTCCCTAGTGGGAGACTGATGAGGCAGTGTCCTTCCTGCCCTTGGTCTACTGGCTAAGAACCTTCCTCAGCCTGGCTTTTCCACATTGCACTTTCAGCTCTGTTTGCAATTTTCCTCCCTTCGTGCTGAGGGAATCCCAGTGTTTGATCCTGAAATCCATAGGCTCCTAATGGGTGGTTAAAAGAAACCTCAGTGAGAGAAGCAGAAAATGTTTCCTCTTCCTGAAAAACTGTAGAAAGGCAGGCACCATTCCTGGTGAGGACGTGGTCCTTGCAAATGTCTTTTTTATGTTTTATTTTATTTTGAGATGAAGTTTTGCTCTTGTCACCCAGGCTGGAGTGCAGTGGTGCAATCTCTGCTCACTGCAACCTCCACCTCCCGGGTTCAAGTGATTCTCCTGCCTCAGCCTCCCGAGTAGCTGGGATTACAGGCACCACAAATGGCTAATTTTTTATATTTTTAGTAGAGATGGGATTTTGCCATGTTGGCCTCGAACTCCTGACCTCAGGTGATCCACCCACTTCAGCCTCCCAAAGTGCTGGGATTACAGGAGTGAGCCACCGCGTCCAGCCTGCAAATGTCTTTAAAGACAGCATGTTTCAGAGGCTGTAGTGGTGCCCTGTGAATGTGCTAAATCTCGCAGTCCCAGGAGCTCTGAGGGGCAGGCCAGGCTCCTTGCCAGGCTGATGGTACTAAAACCCTGCTCTCCAAGACATAACCTGATGTTCCTGCAAGATGTCTTAATCGACTGTGGACCGTGAGAGTCTGCATCTCATTTTAATTAAGACAGGAAAAGAAAGAACAAAAGAGCAACTCACAGGTTATAGAGAAACTGGATTTTAGTATAATATTCAAGTGTGGCATTGCTGATAATAACAAACATTTCCCCTCCCAAATGGTAAACACTTGCACTGCCTAGTATACAAAAATTCAACCACCCCTCCGTTACCCCATATCTCCTCCCCAGTGACCCCCCTCTCATGAGGCCTCCTGAGCCTGGCCAGCAGTGAATGACACTTTCAGGGGCATGAGACTCCACATGAGTGGGACTCAGGTGGGCACCCTCTCCACGTGGGAGCTGGAGAAGCTGCCCTAGTACCAGCTGAAAGTATCTGTGGTGTCCCTGCCGCTAAGCTGGGGGCCACCTCTGAACTGGTCTCGGGGTGTGAGCTGCTGCTGGTAGTGGGCTCTGCACTGAGGGCCTGGTGGCTGGTCGGAAGGGCAGGCACACACGGGTGCCTCCCCAGGGACTCAGACCACCTGCCCACCACAGCCCCTGCACTGTGTGCTCCAGGCATGTGCTGAGTGCCTGGTCAATCACCAGGGCCCTATTGATCCCAGTCTCCAGAGAGATGATTTAGTGTCACTCCACAGAGGGGGAAACTGAGGCCCAGAGAAGTAAGATGACTCTCCCCAGTCACAGGGCTGGTCAGCAGTAGGGTTGGAGGCTAGTCCCTTGCTGTCTGACTCCCTGAGCCCATCCATAGCCCAAGGCAGCCAACCTCTGCCTGCCCTGATTCAGGCCCTGACTGGCCCCTGGGGTGGGTGATGTCTGTCTTCCTGGCCTTTGTGCTCCCAGCCAACTGGGAGGGAGCCACCAGCTGGCATGACAGGTTGTAGCTATGGACAGAAGGGTGGCTGTGAGGCTACCAGGAGTCTCACCAGGGCCCCCTCCCAGGGCCTGTCCAGAGTGAGGTCTGGGTGTCCCAGGCATTGCCAGACCATAGGGTCTGATGCTGACCAAGAGGCCATGGCCACAGGCTTTCCAAGGCGGGCCCCCAGGGAGAATACAATCCTACTGTCCCAATTCCTGCCCTGGCCTTACACAGTCTCACCAAGCTGCTTCATGGTCCCAAACCAGGACCCAAGTGCTGCTTGGGCTCGAGGTTGTAATTATTTGCAGCCAACTGGAGCAGCGGACCTTCTTGGTTACTTTGCATTCCTGGGGCTAGAGGGAAAAACGGGGTGGTGACAGGGCCTGGACAGGGATGTCGGAGGGGCCCGGTGGGGGTAGCTGGATGGGGTGATGGCCAGTCTTTGCTCATAGGAAACCCCCTCCTCCTCTCCAGTCCTGTCCAGACCCCACCTGTTCTCAGAGCTGGCTCAAACAGCCGCTCCTCCAGGAAGGTGTCCTTGGTTTCAACCTGGTACTCCCACCCGCCAGTCTTCCTGGAGCATCTCCTCCTTCCCTCTGTATCCCCATAAATCTAAGATGAGGGGGATGGATCTGCCCACTGCTGCTCACCTTATGACTCTTGTGAGGTTGATCAGTCTCCCCTGGAAAGCCGATAACTGAAGTCCATCAGAAAGGGTCCTCTGGCCCAGAGCCAGCCCCTGCCCACCCCTGTCATACTGCACCCAGGATGTAAGACCCAGGTCAGGTCTGGGTGACAGGAGGGCGATAAAGGGGCTGAGGCTCAGGGGCCTTCTAGCCTAACCTCTCTGGAGACAGTTGGGGAAACTGGGATTCCAAGCAGGAAGGTATGCCTCCAAGAGACTATTCTCATTAACCTGGAACATTTCTGCAAGCTGTTAGGTATAGGAAGTCTGTCACAGGTAAGAGAAATGCTTTTCGAGGGCATGAGAGACAGCAGGGTTGTGACAATATTGAAGCACCACTGTGCAGGTTCACCAATTGCCACCACCGGGAGCCCCCTGAGAGCCATTGCAGATGCATGGCCCTACCCTGCAACCCCTGGACCTCCCCATGGTCTGGCGCCTAAAGGGTTATGCCTCACGGTGGGAAACAGGGCCCTCAGGATGCCCTGCCCACTCCAAGGTCTGCCTCTGCTCTGATTGGTCACTGACATTCAGATTGTCACCCAAATATAAAGACGTTAGCAAAAAGACTCATTCAATGTAAGTGGGCTCAGACACAGAAGGGAATTGGGTTGCAAAAAGCCCCTTTTGTTTCTTTTATTTTATTTTGGAAAAAACTTTCATTGTGAAAATTCACATATATATATATATTAAAAAATTCAATCATCATGAAAGGATAGACAATGAACAAATGAATTCCCCTTCCACTCCAGATTCCCACCCCAGATTCAGACCTCCTGAACCCACTTAACCATCTCATCACGGATCCAGACCTCCAGAGCCCACTTCCCCCATCTCATCACGGATCCAGACCTCCTGAGCCCACTTATACATCATCACGGATCCAGACCTCCTGAGCCCACTTCCCCCATCTCATCACGGATCCAACTCCTGAGCCCACTTCCCCCATCTCATCACGGATCCAGGTTCTCCTGAGCCCACTTAACCATCTCATCACGAATCCAGACCTCCTGAGCCCACTTCCCCCATCTCATCACGGATCCAGACCTCCTGAGCCCACTTAACCATCTCATCATGGATCCAGACCTCCTGAGCCCGCCCCCATCTCATCACGGATCCAGACCTCCTGAGCCACTTCCCCATCTATCATGGATTCAGACCTCCTGAGCCCACTTCCCCATCTCATCACGGATCCAGACCTCCTGAGCCCTTCCCCCATCTCATCTGGATTCAGACCTCCTGAGCCCACTTCCCTCATCTCATCATGATTCAGACCTCCTGAGACCACTTCCCCCATCTCATCACGGATTCAGACCTCCTGAGCCCACTTCCCCCATCTCATCACAGATCCAGACCTCCTGAGCCCACTTCCCCCATCTCATCACGGATCCAGACCTCCTGAGCCACTTCCCCATCTTATCAGGATCCAGACCTCCTGAGCCCACTTAACCATCTCATGATCCAGACCTCCTGAGCCCACTTCCCCCATCTCATCACGGATCCAGACCTCTGCGAGCCCACTTCCCCCATCTCATCAGGATCAGACCTCCTGAGCCCTTAACCATCTCATCCAGTTCAGACCTCCTGAGCCCCTTCCCCCATCCCACGGATCCAGACCTCCTGAGCCCACTTCCCCCATCTCATCACGGATCCAGACCTCCTGAGCCCACTTAACCATCTCATCACGGATCCAGACCTCCTGAGCCCACTTCCCCCATCTCATCACCAGTGATTTCTCAGGCTCTGCATTAGTTTTCTATTGCTGCTGCAACAAACAGCTACAGACTCAGTGACTTCCATTTCTGTCTTACAGTTCTGGTTACCAGAAGTCCTAAGAGGATCTCACCCGGCTAAAATCAAGGTGCTGGTAGGGCTGTGTCCCTTCTGGAGGTTCAAGGGAAGAATCAGGTCCCTGCCTTTTCCAGCTTCTAGGGGCTCCAACATCTAGGTTTGTGGCCTCCTTCCTCCATCCTCAAAGCCAGCAACAGCAGGTGAAGTCCTCGCCCATCATGCATCACCCTTCTGCCTTCTTCAACTCTTTTTTTCGTATTTAGGGGGAACGAGTACAGGATTCCTTCATAGTCAAAAAGCTCCTTATAGAGAAGCTTGGAACTTTCAATACAGCTTTGCCTCTTTTGCCATTTTAATTTTCCATTTAATTTAAGTGTATTCTCTCATTTGACCTTCATACTCTGTGGAGAAATATTTCTCTTTCAGCTTGTATTGACAGACTGCTTCCACACAGCCCCCACATCACCCAACCCACCCAGCAGAGATCCTCATTCCCATTAAACAGAGAAACTGAGGCCCAGGGAGGCTAAGAGTCCTGCCAGGATTATTCACCTTCCAAGGTAAGGAGCCAGTTCCAGACCCGGGTTTGTGCAGCTCCAAGCTCCCAAGTCTTTCTACAATGGTAGATTTAGACTACAGCAATCTGGCAAGTGTAGTCAGACAATGGCCAAGTTGGATTTAGATGCTGTTCTCTATAAATCCATTCTCCTCTCCCATGTAAGCAAGACAAAGCACTCCAGGCCATGGGGAGTCCCTGAAGACTCGAACTGCAGTGGCCACATCAAGAGGTTGCAGGTTGACCAGAACTCACC